TTGGATGGTCTTTAAAATAAATTATAGAATACAAACATTTGAGTTCCAATCCTGGATTGGCCAGTAACTAGCTGTGTGACTTTGGGTAGCTTCAGTTATAAAATGAAAAGTATATGGATTTTTTTTGAGAAAGAGAGTATGCATGCCAAGGAGAGAGAAGGGCGGGGCGGGGGGGTGGGGAGGGAGAGACACTCTTAAGCAGGATCCACACTCAGCACAGAGAACTTATGACCCAGGGATCATGACCTAAGCCGAAATCAAGAGTCAGACACAACCAATTGAGCCACACAGAGGCCCCCATATGAAGTCATTTCTAAAGTTCCTTTTAGCTGTAATAGTCCATGACTGTATAATTTTCATTTCTTTGGAAAAAAAAAAAATAAAGGCAATTCCAACAGGACACTGTGAGACAAAAGGGAGTAATGCTGGACTAGATTTACTGTAGAAAGTTCACATCCAACACTACAGCTTCAAGAATGACATGAGATTACCAAAGAAGCTGGAAAATGGTAGAAAAATCCAAAATCATGACAGTAATGAATATTGAACAGATAAGAAATTTAAGACTGAAATTACTGAAAAACTATTATTTACACAATTTTAAGAAAAGAACAATAAAGTAGCCTCTTGAAACATGTTCTCCATCAAAATGGTCTGGATTAGATATTGGATAATTTGTTCCTACTTGGATGATGTCATCATACTAGGTTTAACTACTTTTAATAACTAGTACATTTCCATCATCTCTCACTTTCTCCCACATAAGATCAAATCAGCCTCTCAATGACCCACACTTCATGAGTCATAATTTTTCTGTTTATGATTCAGAAAAATGTCTTCAGTCAGTATTTCCCAGACTGCTGTGGGTTTATTCCAAGAACCAATTTCATCTTCATTGGTTTCCTACAGGAAACCAGACCAACTTCCTATTATTTTATTTTCCTTACTTTTAGCATACCATAGCCCACAGCAAATTAACTGGAAGTGAGAGTGATAGAAGACTTTATCCTGTACAAAGAGAAGCCAACACAAACAATGCCCAGTCTAGAAGTCACGGATTCAAAAGTAAATACAAAATGTGCTAATATTAGAATCTTCCTTCTTAAAAGTTCCAAACCAAATAATAAAAATGTATTTTAATTAACCTTATTGCAAACATTTCAGTCAGAAAGAACTTTTGTTCAAAAGCTACTGTCTAAGAATACAATAAATCCTACAAAGCTGATTAACACTGAAGTCACTTAAAATATATACACATATGTATTTTCCATCCTAACCCCCAAACAAGCTGCTAAGATAACAGACAACTGAAGCCCAATGCATAGAGCCTTGGTGTGGCTGGGGAACAGAGCAACACCTCCATAATAACAGGGCAGTCTGTTATCCCCAGCTACCATCACACTAGCCCTTGCGCCCCACACCCACTCCCTCTATGACTGATAATCAGACATCAGCTCCCAGCAGAAATAGTAACATGGAACACAGATTTTTAAAGGACTTCCTAACAGCAGTTTGTACTCATACTATTCCCCTAAAATACTAGTTATTTCTCATGGACTATACACTTCTCAGAAAAAGATTTGTGAATGTGAAGAATCTAGATATAAATATATATCAGATTCTCCTTAGACTCTCCATTCTCATCATTCCTGATTGTAGGTATAGTTTTAGGCTTTAAAAGTGCACAAGGTCACTAGCTGGCAAAGAACAGGACTATTTTATACCAAATTCAAAACGTTGATACATTAAAAAAAGAAGTCCTAAAAAGAATGCATTAGGGCACCATGTCAAATATAGATAAACCAAGAAACCTGAAACATTAGAGCAATGGCTCTCAAAGTGAAATTTCCAGACCAAAATCAGCATTATCAACATGTCCTAAAAATGGAAGTTCATGAATCAGAAATTCTGGGGAAGCGCCCTGCAACCTGCAGCTGATGTTAAAGTGAGACTTGTCTATTATATGCTGTCTTCCTTAGAACAGGAAATTTCTAGAAAAGAATCCACTCAATTTACATTTCACTCATAACCCCTCAACTTCTAAACCCTCTGCACCCGAGCTAACTCTTCTATCAAATTGCTAGAATGCTCTTTTTAGAAGTATCTACCAATGCCAATATCCTCTCTTGCTTGAAATGGCCTGATTTTTACTTCGGTGACACAATTTCACCCTTCTGGATATCCATCTCCCACTTTCCTGTCATCAGTGACTACTCTTCCAGCTCCCATTCTAAAAACACTCCTGCCCCGTAGGATCAGTCTTCAGGCCTCTACTCCTCTTCTTCTATCTGCTGTCTTGCCATCACCAAGAATTCCCAGAGCTGAATTTACATCTGTCGTACCCCTAGTCTCTCTTAAGCCTCACAACATATTTGAAACTACTTCATGACCTGATTCACCTGAATGTCCTTCAAGTACTTCCAGTAGAACATATGCTGGAGGGAACTTACTTACCCTGCCTAATTCCAACAGTCCCTCCTTGAATGCCTGCTCTAGTATGGGTACCAGCAGTTGTCTGGTCCCCATGGGCACTGGAGCATTGCTCTCCTTCTTCCCTAGTTCCCATATCTTATCAGCAGAGAGGTCTATCCTACCAGGCATCCTGCGTCACCCGCCCCATTCCCACCATCTGACAGCTTCCTATCTCTTCTGAAGCCCTACCGCTAGACTTACTTGTAAACCTCATCTCTAAATCTATCTTCCCCATGTTCAAAATATGCAGAGGCTACCCAAAGGTGGCCCAACTGTCTACAGAGCCTTACATCACATTTCTCTTCAACAAATTTTTCATTCAATCTAGAATGTTCATCATGCTAAAAACATGTCCCAAGTTTTCTCACTTCTGACACTTGGACTTACATACTGCTTCCATTTCAACTGCCAGTTTCCACTATGTCTGCAGATTTCCTCCCTAAACCTTCTCCTTGACACCATCATAATCCTTCAGACTGAAGTTCTCTCCCACCCTTCTCTAAATTAGACTCGAAGATATTAGTGTCAGCCTCTGTCACTTGCCACAAATCACCTCTACAAAAGTTTAGACCCTCTGTGCCAGAAGTGGCTTTTATACATCTTTGTGTCCTCCATTCCACCGTGCATGTAATTATTTGTTGATGGGCTAAATGATTTGACAAAGCAAAATTCATATTCAATTAGACACCATTTCTGCCAATTAACTGGCCTTTAGGGGAAGGAGGCAAAACACAATGAAAACAGACAAACTTCACATACATAGCAACTTAAATGAAACAACTTAATCTCCTACACTTTCTACACTTACAGTACAAACACTCCAGAATGATAACCACACAGTAACAGGCTCCCTTCAAGTAAGAAAAGTACAACTAGTTTTTTGAACTACAAAAACTGTTTAGAAAAAGGAGAAGCCTGGTTCATTTAATACTAAAATGACAGGGGGAAGACTTTCTATAAATAAATTTTCATAAAATGTCCTTTATCTTCCCACCATGCCAGTTTATAGCTCCAGAGGTGAGAAACTATCTACAAACACAAAGGAAAGTTCTTAATCTAAAGGAAGTTGATTCCAAAACATTCTATTTTGCCTGGAAGATATTCTCACTTTGGTCAGGAAGGCCAAGAAGCAGCTAGATAAATTTTAATGTGGAAGATGGACTGATTGTTCCAGTTAGGGATAAATAGTCATCATTCCTGGAGTGATAAAGAGAGTCAGTATGTCCCTATAGAAAAGACAGGTGATAATCTCTCCAGGCATAGTATGCATAAGATACCCTTTCAAAATGAGAAAATACATTCGGAATCATTTAGAAAAACAGCTCTGCTCTAACTGAAAGACCCTGATAACTTTCACAGCCCAAAGCTTAGTGCTGGATACAGAACAGAATCATCGGAGATTAAGAAAGGGAAACATTTTTTTCCTAGACAGCACAATAAGAAGTATCTTTACTGATATGTAGTTATCTTTCAAGGTTAATACTTTAGAGAAAAATGTAAATTATGAGAATTTATACACTATTTTTAAATTTGATACCAATTACAAGACTGGGCCTACCATTATGTTCTCACTATGTTCCACACCCGGTTTCATTTTACTTAGAAATGTATAGTTTGTCCCTTAAACTAGCTGAGACCTGTAGCTTCCACTGTGCCCAAAGTTGGGGATATAAAGGAAATCAATTCTGAAATAAGACTGCTGAATTCATTCACTGAACAGAAAAAACACTGATAGATAGATTCTCTGACATTTGGGGGGTGAGGGGACTCTTTTAACTTAGAGTTATATGCTTTTATTTCTAAGTTCCACTATTCTGATTGAATAAATAGCTAAATAGAATTCATATCATTCCTGGCTTCAGAATTCACTCACTCAAGTGAACACTAGGATACAGCAACAAAACTTAAAAGAGATTGGTAGAGCTCTAGCAATGGGCTACTCAGGTTTACTGTGATTTGTTCTAGAAAGGAAAACTAAAGAGAGGTAGGTAGAATATCAGAGAATCTGAATTAAGGGAAAGAAATAAACATTAGCTGTATCATACTGAGAAGACAAGAGGATTTTCTTCCTATGATTTTTACTACTTATAATAAAAAGTTAATTCAGTTAATTCCAACATATTATTAAACTCAAAAATATTACTTTCTCAGCCAGTAATATAACCACTACCAAAAATTAATATTAAAATAGAAGTTTTATTGAGTTACATTTCTCAGTATTTTAACAAAAACACTTCATTCACAATGTGATTTGAAATGGCAGAAAACAGACTACAAGATCAATCCAAAATAAATGAATACTGCTATTTTAATGTTACCAGTAAGATTTTATATTGCTCAATAACAGGAGAATATAGAATATACTTCTACAAAGTATTAGTATTTCTAATACTAATGAATTTATCAGATTCATGAATTAAACTTGAAGACTAGGAGCAATGCCTGTATTATTGTATTAAGAAGCAACAGACAAAATACAGAACAACTCAAGAACACAGTAAAGAAATGTGACTGTGAAAATGGCTTACTTTAACATGGCTCTGGGCTCCAAGGTTGTAGATCTCCGTAGGCTTTACTTCATTAATGATCTTCACTAGGCAGGTACTGTCAGTGAGATCACCATAGTGCAACTTCATGTCTTTAGAATTAAAAAATATACCATCAGATTGAAGAAAACAACAAAAGCCCAATTTTTAAAAATATCAAAATGGAAAGGTATATTCTGAACGTCTGAAAACCAGACTGGTTTTCAAGTAGCAGAGTATAACTCTCATCTTTAAAGAACCTAAATAGTAGAAATATATTCACATTTGTTAACTATGTCTAAAAAGGATTTGTAAGAACTCCAACAAACTTTGTAAAAAAATTGTATCCAGGGGCACCAGGCTGGCTCAGTTGGTTAAGTATCCAACTCTTGATTTCAACTCAGGTCATGATCTCATGGTTTATGAGATTGAGCCCCATGTCAGGCTCTACATGGACAGCGAGGAGCCTGCTTGGGATTCTCTCTCCATTCTCTCTACCCCTCTCCTACTCGTGTTCTCTCTTTCTCTCTCAAAATAAATACGTAAACATTTTAAAAATAAAAGATTAATTAATTCATTAATTAATTAAAAAATAAAAGTCATATCAAGACAAAAGACACGTTATACAATTAATGTATCTTATGGTTCCCAGGTAGTTGTAAGGTATGTTACATAAGAGTGAGATTCAGACAAAGAAAATCTAACAATATACATATTCTCTGAAGAACTCTGTAATACACTGGGTAATAGTGAATCAGATGCTTTTATCTAGCGATTTTTAAGTACTTCATAAACATGAATCCTTAAGCCATCCACAAAATGCCTTGATGTAGTGACATAGCTGATTAAATTGATTAAAGAACAACTAGCCTATTCTAACCCTAAATCTCAGCAGATCCTTACACTGACCTCATTACTATAAGAATTTGACACTTGTAGATGGGCAATTTGCTAGCTTGATCTTTAAATTATTTTTACATAATACTAATAATCTCTGTTTAGATCCAATGGCAGTACCATTCTGTACTTTGTACAAAAATGATAATTTTCAAGGAGGATGTACTGAATAACTAAATATAAAGGTGAAAAGCCTTTAGTGGAGACAACTAGGTCATCTTCCTGATGATGTCACTACTTGTACAAGTAACCCAAAACTCCAAATATTCAGTGCTCTGAAATGAATACAAAATGACTTATGAGTTACAATCTGACTGAATCATCCCTGCTAGCTGGAAAAACTGGACAAGCAGAGCAGGCTGAACTTGAGAGTTTAAAAACCCAGTGTCCTGGTCCTAGCTCTGTCTTTTACATGGTATATGACCTCAATAAAGTTACAACCTCCCTCTGCTTCCATTTCCTCATCTGTAAAATGGTTTCACTCACAAGTTTAGGAGCTGCTGTAAAGATCAAATGAGATAATACTATGACTGTGCTATGTAGACTATATGGCTACATTCAGACAATTTTAATAAAAATAACAAGCAACTGCAAATACTGACAGTGACCTGTAAAGCAATTAAATATAGTTTTGATTTCCACCAGTTTTTGGACTTGTCTTCACAAATTATTTTAAAAATTAAATAAATATATAAAGATTGGTTAGTTTGATTACATTAGACCAAACAATAAGTAAAGGAGTATTCTGAGAATATGGACCTGATCTTACTTGAGGGGATAAGGACACCTGGAGAAGGGTAATCTAAGCCATGTCTACTCTTCATCTCTTGAGCAGTATCACCTGATCAATATTTTGTAACAGACTAACCAAGATGACACTGTGGCTCAAGGACAGCAAGCAATGGAAAGGTTTTCAAAGCATGCAGAGAGCGTTCAATGCAGGCAATTCACCGGTGAATAATTGCAACTTGATGGGCTTTGAGAAAAATGACATCTGAAAATACCTTATCATAATATAGGAAGTTATAGAAAGAAATTTTAGAAAAGAAAATGACTTACTTCCTTCAATATGAGCCTGGGGGTTCTTATACAGATGTTCAATTCGACCTGTATTGAATGAACTGGATCGCCGCACAATTCCATGGACCTGCATTTTTTTATAGTGTGGAAAGAAAAGAAATTATAAACATGCAACAAGAATTAACAAGCACCTCAGAAGTTCTTTTGTTAATGCTTACTTTGTGAGAAAAATAACTATTATTTACAAAATTATTTTTAAATTATTAGAAAAACTTCCACTGCTTACTTTCTCCCTAAACACTGCCCACTAGCCACCAGCATTGTGCCTCCATCTCTCTGTGGTGTGTTCACTGCCAATCTCAACAAAAGTAATTAGATAATTATGGGACTTCACAGCAAATGCTTAGTTACCGATACTCAAATGTCTCCTTTTCCAAACACACACACACTTAGAGCCTTGTTGCTGACAAAAATATCTCTCCAGTTTGAAACTGAAGACAGACCATGTGAGGCCCTATCGGTAAAACTGCCTTGCAGCTTTAACAGAAAGCATGAGGCTGTGAGGCTCTGATGCCACCATGTCCTTCCAGTGTCCTTATTTTATATATTTATATATTTCTGGGTCCATAAATATAATCAGGCAGCAACTATAATGCAGCTTTGTGGAAAAGTAAGAACTAAACAGGAGAGATCAGGGAAAAGACATACTACTAGATTTAACACATGAGGAAGACTCAAATGAAAAAAGGATTTTTTATTTTTTTAATTTTTATCTTTGACTTAACCATAATAAGTATGAGAGTGGGGGAAAGTCCTTGGAACAACAATGCATATATGTCTGATACCGAAGAAAGACTATTTGTGTCTGATACATAAGAGAAATTGTTCAAGGCTTGGTCTCACTTCCTTCTTGTGTCAAGATTGCTCCCTTTGTGTTGCCAATGCTAATACAAGCTTATGTCACCAGCTGCCCGAGTTCCAGTTCTACTGGTGGCAGTTTTAATCCTTCACCTATTTTAAAAGTGTTCCTTCTGATGTTGAGTAGTCTCATTTGCAGCTGAATACACTTCTATATTTTCACTCAATCGTTTTCTGTCTGTTTCAAACCAAAATTAATCCTTGGCATGACTCAAATATTCCAAATTGGTGGGGGGGAGGGGAAAGTGGAACTTTAAGCACATAAGACTTTCTTTCAAATAGAAAGAAATGTCACCGTCATTTTATACAGCATACATGAGAAACTAACTTCTGCAAAGGATACAACACACCCACAATTAATAATTCTGGTGGTTAGCTGCTTTAGCCAAAGAGAAAAGCACTCATCCACACTATTTTCCAAAAGAACTAAACTCAAGAAAATTTGGTAAAAATGAAAATATTTTAAGAAGGGAATATCACAAACTTCATTGACATTTTATGAGGCAAATAGTAGGGGCGCCTGGATGGCTCAGTTGGTTAAGCGTCCAACTTTGGCTAAGGTCATAATCACAGTTTGTGAGTTAGAGCCCTGTGTCGTGCTATGTGATGACAGCTAGGAGCCTGGAGCCTGCTTCAGATTCTGTGCCTCTTTCTCTCTGTGCCCCTCCCCCACTTGTGCTCTGTCTCTCTCAAAAACAAATATTAAAAAAATTTTTTAATAGAAAAACAGTAAAATCTAGGAAATATTAAATTGGGATTTAGGTATACATATCCATTTCTTAATTTGGAAGTGGAGAAAATAACACATCAAGCTTAGAATTATTATACTTCATGGTCTCCAATTTTTCAAGTTGTTATTTAAAAGTTGAACTGCTCTACAAACAATAATTTTAACAAACAATTTTAGTAAGTAATTTTTTAAATAAAAATCAAGTTCACATACATACTTATACATAACAAAATTGGTGTTTACCACCAAGTTATTTCTGAAATATAGATTTCTCAGATACAAGTAGTGCTTTATTTCATTTCATTTAAAGGAATTTCCATGTTCTAAAAACAAATAATTTAATTCTGATAATGAAAAGAATAATAATAATATGATTTAGTCTATTTTTTCTCTTGATTGCTGGATTCTGGGTAAGTTACATATTCCAACAGCCTGAAACAAAGAGAAACTCCTTATACATACACAATGCATATGAACATTAAAGGCTCTGATAAAAATATTAAATGATATTGATGGATTTAGTACAAAATCAGACTACTACACAAAGTCACAGTAAATAAATAACATAGGATTTTCTGTCACACTTATAACCAAAAGCATTAAGCACCAGGTTTTTTTTTTAAATATCTCACACACACACACACACACACACACACACACAATGTGTTTTAATTTCCCCTACTCCAACTTTTGGTATGTGTATACAGGGAAAGAAAGACCTGCCAAATGCTTAATCCATGACAGCAAGTATTATTCTAAGAACTAATGAAAGCTCAGTCTGTCTGTTTCAGAGACAGGTGAAATACAAACTTTAAGACAAGCCAAAATGTGTGCAAACTGGATAATCTAGTTAAGAATTTGAGATTAGCAGCTTTCTCTTTACAGAAGGGATGTATGCATGGTTGTTGTTTGTTTTCATAAGGATTTGGGAGGAAAGGGAGATGAGGAGTTAGGAAACCAAACTGAAAAGATAAATGAGCTGAATATGACTCCATATAAACTTAATCAAAATCACTATTGTGTTATAGTAGTTCAAAAACAAAATATAATCCTGAAAAACTGAGATCTTAAACAGAAATGAGTACTGAGACAAATAAATTTCATGTTCCATTTAACTAAGCACTGAAAAAGAAACTTTCAAGTTCTCTCAATGTCAGAACAAAGTTAATTTGACTTCAAAACCTAGAGTCAGACAAGGCAATATAACAGAAAAATGCTTGCTCATTTATTTCTTTATTACAATCACAAAAACAGAAAATTGTTGCTACTGGATTTCAAATCCTTCAATATGTTTGTTGGTTATTTCAATCAAGAAAACAGAAACATTAAAACCACTAGATTTCAAATTCTTCAGTGTCTAGATTTCTCTTGGATCCAAGGAAGGATGATTCCCCAGGGATGTTTAATGCCACTTGCCTTTTGAAAAGCATAGATAATATAGGTAACATCAATAGCTAATATGTGCATGGCAATGACCCTGTGCCAGACACTATTCTTTATAGACATTAAATCACTTAATCTGCACAACAGCCTTCCTAATATTACTCCCATTCCACAGATAAGGACAGTGCCTAAGATCACACAGCTAGTATATGTGGTCAAGCTAAAACATACACATGGTCCATTCTACCAACACTCAATATGTTTCAAAATGAAATTCACAAAAACTTTTGTCTCTTTTCACCCAGAAAAAAATATTTTACAGATTCTCACAGATCATGATTGGACGCCTAAGAACTCCCATGTTCTAACAAATAATCTTCCAGATAACAACTAGACAATCCTTATATGGTATTTCCTTTCTGTTTTCCTGATACTCCCTGGTTACAATTCCTTTCCTAGAAGGAAAACCCACAATTCACCTATTCTTTATTTTAAATTTTGATATGTTCTGTTGTAGTTGTTACCATGTTATTTAATATAAATTTCTCATTTATTCCCAGACATATTTTAGGTTTTAAAATATTTAACTTTGACTTTTATTATCCTGGTTTTTCTTGTTTTGGGTACAAAATAGGGACAGAACTATGTTGCTGGCTTATCTGGTACAGGGATTATAGGAAGGCACTTGAAACTTTTCATGAGAAGTTTCACTTCTGTCAATGCTCCTTTTCCCCTCATGGCAAGAAGGAATGTGCACAGGGTTAGGATCCTAGGAAATGTAACAGGCTTACCTTTCACTAATGTTAATTAATAAACTAGACTAAGGAGCCTTCTCCTTAGTCTAATTTATTAATCTTTATCCCCAGGCTTGTCAGCATCAAGCACTGTGTCAACTTGTTACTCTTATATCAACTAAAGTCCCATAGAACCCACAGAGTTTCTCTGGACTGTTTTCTATCCTTTGTCCCACCTAACCTTCAAGACAACCTTAAGAAATAGGTGCATTTATTATCCCCATTTATCTAAAAAACACCTAAGTCTTAGGAGAAGTCCAGTGACTTACCCAAGGCCACAGAGCCACCAATAGCAAAGGAGGGGTAGGAAACAGGCTGTGCAGTGCTCAAACCTAAGGGCTTCCTCACCACTGTGAGCTGGACCACCTCATTCACCTTCCTTGCCCTGAACTGGCAGATACACTGCAAGAGAGAATTATCCTTTGCACTTTAACAACTTTAGAATTAACATTTGAGGTTTTAAAGGGTCAATTTCTATAAAACCTGATAATTCTGAATTTTCCTCATGATCTGGCACCTATATACTATAAATAATAAATAAGTGTGAGATTCATTCTCTTTAATGTTTAATGTTAAGCAAAATTCAAGAAAAAGCAATATTAAAAACTATAACTTTAAACCTTAAAATAGAGTCTCTTCTCAATGAGAACTGGACCAGGAATAAAGTAACCCTCCACTTTCTCATGTTAGCTCATTCAGAACATGATCAAATGCATGGATTTCAGTGGCCACATTAGAAGGTCAGGGCCCACTTCTTCCGAATCTAATGTGTGATCATAGAAGGTAATTAACAATAACTAATTAGTCTATTAATATATGATATTCCTTTTCAAGTCATATGCAAATGTCTATTTTTGCTTTAAAGTTAGTCAATCCTTTTATAATTTGCTTTATTTCTTTTTTTTTTTTTGACTAAAGAAAAGTAAAGAATATATGTAACTGTGCTGCGCTAACTCTATAAATAGGGTTTGGTTTTGCTTATGTGGCCCCATCATCACTACCTCACCAACCTATCTCTGTTCTTCAACTGGTCGCTCTCCTCCAGTTGACTACTGCTTCTCTGTAGAGTCCATGCCTCCCCCTCTTCATAATGAAAGGCTGACTTTGCCATGTTTAGCTAATTAAAATTTGCCCCTTTCTGTGCCAGGAAGAACTCAGCCTCATTATCAAGCCTATTCACAGAATCTACACTTCTTGTTCCCATTGCTTATTTTGTTCTTGGGTTGTATTCTGCTATGCCAATATATATTGTTTCTAGTTATTTCTGAACTTAGTGATATTCCTTGTACAAAGCATAAATTCAAAATAATATGAGAGCTCAGAGAAACAAAGCCCCACAAATTAAGGTACCTTAAGAAATTCTGTTCTTCACCATGTGATTAAATGATCTCATTTGAACTTTTAGTTGTATTTGTTCTCAAACTGTAAGACCCAAGAGAGCAGCATCAGCCACAGCTGGGGACTTGTTAGAAAGGCTGATTCCCAGATCCCTGAACAAGCCATCCTCATCTTAAATGGGACCTCTGCATGGTTCTGATGTATACTACAGGTTGAGAACCTGATGAGTTAGAAGTCTGTGCTCACCCAAATTGCTGATGTTGACCCTCTGGAATCAGATACAGACAGGTATCTCCTCTTATCCTATTGCATGCAATTTACTAGGCCTATTATTTTGCTCATGGCCTTGAGCAATCAGGGGCTGCTGGCTGATAATTCAGGAAAACTTCCAATGCAGCTTCTTTGAAAAATCACCCTCATATTTACTTCAACTTAAACAAAAAAATAAAGATGAAGTCTGTGCCACCATTAGATTTCCCTTAATAGCTTATCCTCCAATTAAATCCATCTCTTAAATTGAAGACAGCAGCCTATTAAAATTGAATAAAATAATGATAAACACCCTTTCACTCCCCTATTCCTACAAAACTCATATTTCCCCTGGACTATGAAGGGGAATCATTTCTGATTATGCTTTGTAGCTCTTTACCTTCTACCTGTATTGTCTACACTATCTCCTTCTATCAGTTTATGGATCTCACTACTAAACCTCCCTTCTCTTGTCAATCATTGTTTCGATGATTCATTCCTCTCATTAACTGTGATTTGCCAAGTGGGCCTTCTGTTACCTTTATCATAATCAAATCTGCTCTTATAATTTCAAATGCCAATGGAATAAAAACCTTTGTAGCTCACTTGACAGTCCTAGGTTCTCACTGTATTTATTTCTAAGTCTGTTGCCCATTTAGGAACATCTTCTCAAGTCTGCTAGTTCCTTAACAAGCCACCTAAATGGAGCTTCACCTGTCCCTCTGCAGGTCTTCTTTCCAGCCATTTCCATCCAGTAATACTAACAGCACCATCATGCTGAGACCATTCACCATCTACCATATCCAGATTAACCCCAGGACCTATCACTAGTCCACCACATTACCACAGTGACTATTCACACTGCCATGTCTGCTCCATTTTCCTCTGGGCTAGCTGTAGAAACATCTTGCTGCCACCATCCTCACCCATGTCTTAGTCCTCCACGTCCACCTTGGAAGTAAATTTCAACACCACGCCGCTTAAGCTTTCTGTCTGACAAAACACCTTACTCTTCAAAACTGGAATGACCATGATAGGGTTCAGGACACACTACCCCAAAATATGGCACCTTGGTGTATGGAATATTTTAAGCTAAAGGAACGTGAGAAAAGAGTAGATCCGGGAAAGTCACACTAACCTTCCCCCTTCTTTTCTCCCCTGAAACAGTCATGACATCCTCTAGTGAGAGGTATCTATCCACCTTGTAACTGGAGAAAAGGAGCATCCTTATCTCAGAAGACAAAGGGATGCCAAGAAGAATCCAAATAAACAAATCTTATTATTTATTATACTCACATCACACTCCTTGACCTGTCATATTAGGTTTGATCATCCACTCTCCATCAAACCTAACATAAACATACTTAGCCTTAACAGTTTCTTGGATCTTCATTCCTTTACGAAGGCTTCCATGTCATGAAAAACTTAAATAAATTTTCATGCTTCTGAGTTTAATTTTCAGACCCTAAGAGAGTTGAGGAAAAATTTTTTCCTCTTCCACATTAAACGAAAAAAGATTAACAGGAGAAACTTCTATTTTTTTGTATTTTATTTTATTTTATTTTTACAAATAGTTTATTGTCAAGTTGGTTTCCATATAACACCCAGTGCTCATCCCCACAAGTGCCCCTCTCCATGCCCATCCTCCCCTCCACCCCCCACATCCATCAGTCCTCAGTTTTTGTCAGCATTCAAGAGTCTCTCATGGTTTGTCTCTCCCCCTTTCCCGCACTACTTCCCCCCTTCTCCTCCATTAAGTTCCTCCTAATCCTCCTATACGTGCAAACATATGATATTTGTCCTTCTCTGCCTGACTTATTTCGCTCAGCATAACACCCTCAAGGTCCATCCATGTTGCGACAAAAGGCCAGATTTCCTTCTTTCTCATTGCCATGTGGTATTCCATCGTATAGATAAACCACATCTTCTTGATCCATTCATCCGTTGATGGACACTTAGGCTCTTTCCATGTTTTGGCTATTGTTGAGAGTGCTGCTATGAACATTGGGGTACATGTGCTTAACAGGAGAAACTTCTACAATTTTCTCAAACTCCTATTATTTTCTCAAACTGTTTCAGCTTAAAATATTCAATATGCTGAGGTGCCATATTTTAAGGTAGGACATCCTGAACCCCAATAGCTCTTACTCACAAATTTCCTTCTCGCAGTTCACTTGATACACAGCCAAATCACTAACTCTTCTCCAGCTACTGAACACCTCTCAGCCGGTGCCAGCACCTGAAACAGAGTAAGTTTCTCTACCAATCCTTCCCTTTTAGATTTATTAAAACACTAAGTTAATGTAGCCTAAACAAATACTAGACTTTATCTAAAACCAACTCTTTTATATTATATATGATCTACTCTAAAATTCTCTGCTTTGCAGATTATGTATTTATCACTCAGTTATTATAGGAATCTTTGTATATGAACATAAGTGCACATGTACACTTTCATAATTATATTTGTCTTATTTTCGTATTTTTTCAAGATATAAAACTAACTGGTTAGGTAAGGAAATAGAAGGTGCTAAATATATCTGCTATTACTTCTTAAAGTCTAAAAGTCAAGGCTCTCAGAAAAGATTATGAGTTATAGTAAGAAAGTTAGTTTCCTTTTCCACAAATCCTGTTGGCATTTAGATGCCAAATTCCTTGCTGTTGTTTTTCCATCTGTCCACTGTGCACATTTTTTAAAAAACAGTACACCTGCAATTAGAATAACCCAGAGAATCCAAATTTATTAACATGAACACTTGCAGATCAGGCGAGAGCATATGGGTCACTGTATAGGTTTTTGTTCTCTGTACAACATGAACTTATATAGATGTATATATATGAGAACTGTTCTTTAAAAACGTAAGAAATACACATGGGGTTATATCAAATTCAATATGCAAAAGTCTGGTTTCCTTTAAGGAAAGCAGTCAATGTTGACGGAGAGGACAAAAGAGCAGAAAAATATGGCAACAATGATGATGACGCCAGCAGCAAACCCAGAAGTTTCAGTGTCCATAAAATATATGGCTGCCTATTAGAAAGCAAACCCTCTGAGTGTAAATGTTTCATTCAAGCTTGCCAAAGATCAGCTTAGTTTTATTGCTCTGTGTAATTTCCGAATTAAGTGACTTCACTGTGAAGGGGAATTTTTTTTATGTAACACATTACATCATAAATTAACCCTAATAATGTTATAGCTTTTAGCTTACACAGGTTGCTGCTTTATCTGAGAATGTGGGAAGCGTGCAAAGCAGTTAAGCACGAAGGAACAGGGGGAAGCCACCAGTGTTCACCAGCAGATAAATAGCACAATGAGCTGGCATGCTTACAAGCCAAGCGGCACATTCTTCCCCTGATTTGGACTCGTTATCAGAGTTTCAGTGGAAAACACACACAGGAGGACGACGGCAGAGGAAGCAGGAGGCCACTGTGTCCAAGTGATTCCACCAGCCTGTGCTTGCTCACTGAGTCACTCACCTCGTAGCCTTTCTCTAGCAGGAACTCAGCCAAGTATGAACCATCCTGGGAAGAAAAGGAAAATTGACAATTGTCAGACCCATCACAGCTAGCATATAAGGCAGCCAAAGCAGAGTTTTAAGAAAAGCACTGAAGAGGCTATATGCACTTAAATCAAGGATCATGGCAACCAAAATAAAAATAATACAGATAATGATGGTAAAGACAGAATAATGTTCCACTTTTTACTATTCACTGAGCATTTTCATAGACATTATTTCACTTGAGCACCAAAGCAGTACAGTAAAATGCTATCATTGTCCTATTTATGGAGTAAGAAACAAAATCTGGGGGGATAATATGGGGCAATAGAGAGAACATGACACTTCAGATTCACATGGATTTGGGTTTAGGTTTTGCCACTTACTAGCTGTATGAAATATGCAAAATATGTGCAGCAAAGCAGAAGTCCTTGGGACTACAGGAACATACAGGAATCAGACTAATTCTGGGTGTTTGGAAAAAAGGAATCACTGGGCAAGAATTAGATGGGAGCTGTGGGGAGTTGGGGAGAAGGCAGGGTGAATGTGAAGAGGAGGCAGGGAGTGCCAGAGTGTTAGCATTATTGAAAAAAGACATCATGGTGGAAAGGAGGAAGATGAATGCTTTTGTGGGGGAAGGCTTTCTAGGCACTGGTGGGAGGTGGCTTCTAACTCAGGGGTTCTGGAAAGTCAGCAACAAAAGAGTTTGGGGGGGAACACAATCAAACTTGTATTATCACTGAATATGTATGCATACATACACACATAAACTTTAAACAAAAGAAGGATGTTTATTTTTAATAAAATAGAAAGGAAACCTCTTAAATCATGCAGTTAACCCCTACATTGAGATGAAGATGCCTAACTAAACATAGAGGTTCTCGACTGGCTTTGAATAACTCTTTTTTTTTTTTTTAAAGTTTTATTTATTTCTAGGAGAGAGAGAGAGACAGCATGAGCAGGGGAGGGTCAGAGAGAGAGGGAGACACAGACTGAAACAGGCTCCAGGCTCAGAGCTGGCAGTCAGCACAGAGCAAGACGAGGGGCACGAACCCAAAAACAGAGAGATCAAGACCAAAGCGAAAGTAGGACGCTTAACCGACTAAGCCACCCAGGCGCCCCTGGCTTTGAATAACTCTTGCAAAAATTTCTACGTAAGGGGAATGTTATTTAAACTAAAATATTTCATGTGCCACTTTTAGGGAAAGGAAGTATGAGAGTCATCTAATAAAACTATTAAGAGGCCAAAAGGTGAGAAATCACTGTTCTAGAGGTGCTATAAAAAGCTACCAACCTTGATCAAAATATGAATTGGATAGATATTTTGCAATCAAACCTGTTAACTGCCCACCTGCTTTCGGCCTGGGTAGGTCCCCTCCATCCAATCCAGACTTAAACATAAAAATGGGAGGCTCCAACTACTGAAAATTTGTATACTCAAAAGTAGCTGGGAATATTTGGTTTCCTCACTCTGAAAAAGTTTACAATATTCCCCTGTGCTTCAGAAGTTCCTACCAGATATTCCAGGAAAAAGAAAAGTGAAGCAAGTATTATTGTCATTAGTTGGCTTAAAGCTGGAATTGGAGACACCCGATGAGTCCTGAAAATGAGAGGACTGCCAAAAGAGTGTTTACTACATTAACACAGAGTCACATATAAATTCAGGCAGGATGACAAGGCAAGGTATACAAGGGACACATTTTGTGGTTCATTAAAACCTCCAGCAGATTTTCTTCTGACTTGACATAAATATTCTGGTTTATAGACTCATGTAGAGAAGAAGAGAAATGGTTTGACATGTTTCTTTTCCTCTCAATCTTAAGACTGCACAGTTTTTAAATACCCAACAAGCAAACTAAATCAGATAAGAGGACTGAACAATTCAGACTAGGACAAACCACTGGAAATGTAAGAATAATGGGTAGTCTTATAAATCAATCAATGAGAAACTAGCTTAATAAAAAAAGCATTTACAATAAGAGGAATAATTTTACAGTAGTCTGGAAAGTCTTACAAAGTATAAAGTTTTGGTTTTTTGCTGGTGTTAGTGTTGTCATTTTGAAGCAGGCAACACTATACTTTTCACATTTTATAAAAACTTCATGTGCTTTGTGTTCTACCATGGCTGCATACAAGGTTTAAAAAAAAAAAAAGGCAGAGGTGAAAGTGCTAGAGATCCATGGGGGCAGGGAGAGCTGTGATTATTCAGAAAGCTGATGCGAAACAGACCTGATCGGGCCTGAACTCTGTCAATAAGGTCTTGTTCTTCTCACCCAGGGCCCTTCTCAAACTTTCCAACCACACTGGAACATTCTGAACCAGCAGGGCACTCACTTCCTCCTGACTTCCTTGCCAGGTCTCTCAAGTGATAGGGCCTGGGCTGCACAATGAGTGGGAAATGGAGCAGAGTAAAGGCTCCCGGTCTCTGGCTTAGGGAGACCAGCTGGCCTCCCCTTGTCCTCTTCCCAGGCCCCTGATGGGACTCCACAGGGAAACACAGTATCTAAACAGGCAGGCGTCAGCCAAGCCAAGATCATTGTTTCTGCCTCCTCCAGAAGAACAGGGCTGTTGGAGAATGCTTCAACAAGACTAATAAGTGAAATATAGCAACTGAGAACCTAAGACCAACGTTAAAACTTCTGATACTTAATTCCCCAGAAAACAACCAAATGAACCAAATCTCCAACTCACTTGCTATGAACACAATTAATTTGGTACAAATTCCAGCCTGGGTTCAATCCTTGTTATAGAAAACTTTTTAATTGGAGAGATAATGTCCCAATTGTGACTCTTTTAAATTTAATTTTCCACATGGTTATTAAGGGTATCCATTAAATGCTATACAGATCTGAGTAATCACCATGGCTGTAATATTTTCAAGACAGAGAAACATTTTCTCTTATTCTTGCAAGAACTCAGCCTGGAAGGCAAGGAGCCACTAGTATCTTAGGGTAAATGAGGCATGTGAAGACAGCCATTTTGCCTACTACCACACTACAGAGGCAAACCCAGGACTCAAATCCAAGTCTCCCATTATTGTGACCGAGAAAACAACCTCCTTTCTCCCCCTCCTACACCTGGACCTACCAAAACATGCTAAAACCCAACAAAATAATAAAAGACCATAACAGGTTTATTTTTAAACCAAATTAATTTAGTCACTTTCCATTACAGTGTTTTATGGATTAATCAGTGCTTCTAGTTTTGATTAAGTAACATCACCTAATTTTAGAACACTCCAGGAAGGAGACCATACACAGCACCTGAGATTTCTCAGGTTTTGTTTGGGTATGTGTTCTATATAGGAAGCAGTACTGTGTTGTTTGAAGATGGACTTGGATTGGCTGTGGATGTATTTATTATTTGGGACTCTAGAGCCAGGGAGGTGGGGTCACAGACTAAGAACCAAAAGCTCCAGATTTAGATGTGTCTGATGCCTATAGTCCCTATACTTGGGTATCTCTGGTTTTTTCACCTTTCATGGAGTATTCAGAAATATTACCGATAAATACCCATAAAAATAAGGAGTAATTGCAAAAATTAATTCAATCCTATTCTTTAAATTTTTTAATGTTTAATTTTGTATATTTATATAGAAAAATGTGTATTTATTTTTTTTAATTTTTTTTAACGTTTTATTTATTTCTAGGAGAGAGAGAGAGAGAGAGAGAGACAGCGTGAGCAGGGGAGGGTCAGAGAGAGAGGGAGTCACAGACTCTGAAACAGGCTCCAGGCTCTGAGCTGGCAGTCAGCACAGAGCCCGACGCGGGGCTCGAACCCATGAACCCCGAGATCATGACCTAAGCGAAAGTCAGACGCTTAACCGACTAAGCTACCCAGGCGCCCCTGTGTATATTTATTTTTGAGAGAGACAGACAGAACACAAACAGGGGAGGGGCAAGGAGATAGAGACAGACTCTGAAGCAGGCTCCAGGTGAGATCATGACTTGAGCCAAAGTCAGATGCTTAACTGACTGAGCCACCCAGATGCCCCTGATTCAATCCTATCTTGACTGTAGCATTAAAATTACTTAAATTTTCACATTTATAATAAGCTGAAGGAAGTACAGAAAGTTAACCCCTTCTCTCAATGGCCACCAAAGGCTATATTAAGCACTGACTGATCCTCTAATGAAGCCCACATCCAAACACGTATGTGCCAGGCAGTCTACCTTCCTGCAGAGGAGACCAGGATTTCTCTTTTCTCTTCAAACATGGATGTACTTATAGTCCAGAAGGACAAATGAAAAGGGCACTTTCTTGTATGCAATGTGAGAAACTGGTTCTTCTGAACTACATGCTAAATTATACTGTGTGTTTTTGCCTAAGCACCAATTGGCAGCTTCTTTGAACAGAATAAGTAATATTGGGCTAAAGAAATCATGCCACTAATACATGAATTTCTTTGTTTAGATCATCCCAAGCATTAGGAAATAGAGTATCCCTTCTGTAAGGAGAGAAACCACCAATTTATGCTGCCCTTTATGTTCTTTAATTCTATGAATTTCTAATTACTCTAAAATAAGCATCCTTTCAGCTAATAGCAATTATAATATCAAAGTAATCTGTAACTCCCCATAAAAGAAATGCAAACACCTCAATGATTAATGGAAGTTGCAGTTTTGAATTAGAATGAAAACTTCCACTGGGAAGATTAGCCACATAATATGAAGAATGTAGAAGCAAAATATACTTGAAAAGTATTTTCACCTGGCTGATGTTTGTAACACAAATCATTGTATAAAATCTTTGTCAAACTCACAGAATTCAAAAGACCATAGGGATTAATTAATCCAACTCTCTCATTTTACAGGTCAGGAAACTGAGTTTCAAAACTGTTAAATGTTTAGTGTACAGTCACACAGTTACTAATAGCAGAATCACACCCAAAAAATAGAAAAACAAAAAACAAAAAACAGAAACAGTTTTCAGATGCCCAGACCTCAGAATTTTTCACTAAAAAATACTGCAAAAAAATCTAGGGGGCACCAGAGTGGCTCAGTCAGTTAAGCATCCAACTCTTGA